CAGGAAACACATTATTTTGAAATGTGATCTAGAAGGATCAGAGCAGTGAGGGATCCTGGAAGTGGGTGGAAAAGAGAAACGAAGTAGATCACCTAGCCATCCAGCCATCAGGACCATCTGTCCAACACTACCATAAGCATTTTCTCATGACAGCACACTACAAGACTCCTAAAGCCAGCAAGTGAAATCCAAGTACAAAATATAACCCATTGCGGGTAAAAATCTCCTCAGGCTGTTCTTAGTACTAAAGGTTCATCTAATGGCATTATTTTTGACACATTTTGATATGATCTTTTGAGAAAATGATTTCCTCATGGTTGTGTCAAAATGTTAGTCTTCTTATTCATTAAAAAGGTAGCCAGCACAAGTATTATATATACACAACCGTGAGGCTGACCAGAATTTTATTTAAAATTGTATTTTATATTAGTGTTATTGACAGGGATAGTGACATTAATTACATATCTGAACTAGAAGTATCAGTGTCACTGTGAAAAGACTTTTCAGGAACACTTCAATAGCCTGAGTTTTCCAAAAGAAAGAGGAAATTAAACGTATTTTCCTTTTAGACACTGCATATGAGTTGAAGGACAGGAGAAGGGAACGACAGACAAGGAGATTTATAATGTTTAAACTTAATTTCTACTTCACCAAGGCAAGCCATATTACTAGTATAAAGCCCTGCTAACAACTGGTCTAAGGAAAAGATTTCAGATGTGCAGGAAAAACTTTAACATCGCGAAGCCAAAGAATCCAAAGTGCAAGGTATTTGCTTCCCCTGCCAATACAATCAGTAGAGTTGATAGCACAGTCAACCATGTTTTTAATCCCAAGAACACTTATATTTAAACACCAACCTTACCATTTTTAGTTACCAAAAACTGTTTGTCTGTTGGCAGATAAGCCTTGACTTTTAGCTCTTCTCCTGAAGACCTGTAAAATGAAGTGCACCATAAAAGGTTGAGAATTTGATGACCTGCAAACAAAAGAATACTTCTATTTTCAGTGTATATCAGGAAGATTTTATATACTCCTCTTGACCTATTCTCAGAATCCGTTTGCCGCAACTTTACTCTTCCCTATACAAAGACTCTGATATAGCTATGGGTCAAAAAGGTTGGCCACCCCTAAACTATGGAGTCTTGGATCAAAACTATTTGCTGCTTCATTTCACTTTAAAAGGGCCAAGCAAAGATGGGCTGACAGAACAATGTAGTCTACATGAAATTTTCTAAAATCAGCAACAACATAGTCCCAAACGTCTGAAGAAAGCAACTTCAGAAAAAGCAAGAAATAGACCTCTATAAATATAAAACCTGCCCATAGTCACTAGAGCTCAAGTGATCTTTGCCAAGTTCACATTACTCAAGCATTTGCTTTTTAGTTTGAAACAAGAGTAACATTATAACAGCCTGTTTCAAACTGCTGGCACATAGGTCAGACTCAACATTGTGTTTTCTCTAAGACAGTAAAAGGGCAAGAAATAATGATTCGAGCATAATAATTCCTCCTTCAGCAATTCACGGCCCAGTATAGAGCCAAGAACCTTAGTGATATCAACCACACAGACAATGCCTATCTTGGCAGTAACTGATTAGCTTTACAATGCAAGACACCAGTAAAACATGAGGAAGCACCTTATTTACACCCTTATTGTACATGAAAGATACAGGATTTCCAAGAGCAAGCACTGCACAAAGGGATCTGATGCGGACCATCGTGAACATATTCAATTAACAAATGCTTGTCTAAAATACACCACTTGCAACTACCTCCTAGCAATTCCAGTTGCATACGGCCTTTGCTTTTTCAGTCACCAAGACAAGCTCAGGGAGACATGCTGCTATTGCAGCTAAGCACTGAAAGCATTCACAGTATGTACCAACTTATTTCCTCTAAAACCTTAGGAAAACAAACAAACCAACCAACCCCCAAACAAATCCTCATCTCAACTACTGCTACACAGAGCAATAAATAAGTCTTGCCTGACTTAAAGATAGCTTCATCATAAAAAGAACAGAAGTTTTACTGGAAGAGTCCATGTACTGTTTTGAAATGAGACAACTGTACAGTTGCATCCAGTTAAAACACATCAAAGCATAGGTAGAGATGCCAGCTTTCTATAATTGTTTTGATTTTACTTACCATTGCCAAGTAGGACAGTGGTGAACTAAGTGATCTCCAGCTGCTACAAACTGTTAAGGCAGGAAAAAAATTACAGTACTGTTAGAAGTGGCATAAGGAAACAATCTCTATTTTTTCTCAATATTAATATATCAGTTGCACATTCCTTTGATAGCTTAACTATGTAACTAATAACCGTTTATATCCATTTGACACTAACTGCATTTCTCAGCTGACCATAAAAACCCAAGACTAAACCAGCTTCACCTGAAGGAAGTGAATACTAAGCACAAAAGCAAATTCAGGTAAACTTTAAAAAGCTGCGGTACTACCTACCAGTCTTGTAACAAGCAAAAAAGTTTTTAGACCCAGTAACATTGCTTACTTTGAGAAGAAGAAAGTTTTTATTTGCTACTCCTCAAAGTTTTACAAAGACAATGAAGAGCTTAATGTAAAAAAAAAAAAAGTAATTATCTTTCAGTGTTCCAAACAATTCTGCAGCAAGAAGAAGAGACTGACATCAATTCATCGACTCAGTGAGAGAACAGAAACCGAGGAATAAACAGTATACATTTTAAGTAACAATCATCACTATAGCAGTTCACCACTGATGTTAACTAAACACGGATAACCAAGTATTTAGTACATTGAAAAACCTAGGTATAACTTTGTTCTGCAGAAATAGCTTTAAAAAAATCTTCATTCTACTTGTTCTTCGTATCAGAGATAAAGACTTTTATAAAATTTTATCACTACTGCAAAGCGATATTGGAAAACTCACGCTAGACTTGTGTACTAACTCAAAACTCACCCAGCAAAGTCTAACCCATTGGGCTTGTTTTTTTTTTTTTTAAACACACAAATTGAGGAAGACAAGCCTGCACCTAAGAAAAGTGATTTTGCAGCACTTATTTTGAAAACGAGGTGCACACCAATTGCTACAGTGGCTTTCTTGTCTTAAAATGCCAGTGTGTAACAACATACTGCCTAGCTGACCAGAAGCTGTTGTAGCATGATGCAACAGGCTTGCAGCGTGTCAGCCATTTTCTCACCATGTCCTCCAAAGCAAGGCGTATCAGCACGGTGGAAAACACCACAACACTCACTGCGTGTGGATTAACAGATTTAATCTCCGCAAAAGTGTTTTCTTTCAACCATTTTCCAAGAAAAATCTCTAGAAAAAGTGAAATCTTTAAAGAAAACAGCAATCCCTCCCAATACATTTTAAAACTCATTAGCCTTTACATAATAATAAATAACACCTGAAACTCCAGAACTATTTAAAATTCTCTGTTTGAGGAACTGGAACACTATTTGTGCCACTAACATTAAAATATATTATTAAAGATTAAAAAAAATGTAAAGTGTTCTTTGTGCATATAAGATACAAAACCCTAAAACAATACTCGAAATTTCATTTGCATTTTCTTCACCTTAGGCAGCAAAATTATCTAGATGGTTTCACTTTCCATTTCTCATGCACTGACGCTACCTCATACCTGAATCAATATTGCAAATGTGGCAAGGGATCAATTTTTGGACATCTTATTTCTACTCATGGAAAGAACTATTTTTAAGATTTGCCTGTACTTATATATAAAATTAAAACAGGTGTTATCCTTCTGAGGTATTAACTAGTAAGAAATCATGACAAGCAAGAATTTCTTGCAATTAAATCAAGTGCACAGATATACAAAAAGAGGGAGCAGGTGTCGATTTTGATTAATGAGTCATCTTTAGCCTTATCACTAACTGATTCATCTTCAGAGGCAAGCCACAGGAACCTCACAAAGTCTATAAAACAGTCAGCATCTCAGACCAAAATGCAGTTGAATTGAGATTCATTACCAAAGAAATCCAAACTCATTCCAAGATAACATCCTAGCATTATTACCGATGACTCTCAATTCTTCTTTAGCAACCATTACTATATAGAGACCAAAACCACCAGGGAAGAGGAAAGACTGTCAAAGGGATAATCAGCAGTTCCATGCTGCAGTCTCATCCAAATTTAACAAAAAATTAATCTTGCTAAATAATTCTTTCCTTTGACTACTGCTTTGAAGGATCCAATTTATTCATCCTATCAGCATCTAACTTTCTATAAGGAACACATACTATTTGCATTCTTACTGGTGTTTAAATGCTGCAAACTGTTTAATGTAACAGTGTGGTTCTTGCTACATTCTATAAACAGTACCTTTACTTTCAGTACTACTGCAAAATTTTCTCCCATCGATCAAGAAAGGATTAAGCATCAGTAGTATATTTGTCTAGACTTTGTTATATTTGTTTTATATATAATACAGATTATAAATATATTATTACGCAATATAAACATTTATATACACACACATACATGCATGGTTATCAGAACAGCCGAACATCATGTTGCTAAGCCTGTTTTTCTGAGCAGTACTCTTCTGGATCACAGAAAGCACAAGTGCGTGCTTGCCATGCAACATAGCAGAAAAATGCTAGGTACCAACGTTAGGAAAGATACTTCTGTCCACATTATCTACCTGCATCAGTCATCATTTGTTCCATCATTTTCCATCTCATCTTCACATTTGTGTATTCTGCCTCATTTTTCGAACATTCTACCTAACAGTCTTAACATAGTTTTCTTACACCTCTGCAAAGACAACGTATTTTCAGAACAGTAGCACTTTAATATGAGAAAAAGAACAGGGAAGCCAAAATAGCACTGCACAATCAGTGTTTTTACTATTTTAGAAAAGATCCTGCTTGTTTCTCTTCACAGCAGACTCCTTAAAAAACTACAACTGCTTGGCAGCAATCCAAAAATACAACCAGTCTGAAGTAGCCTATAGAGAAGAAGAGGAAAAAAATAATAATCATTGGATACTTGGTGCAGACAAGCATATGTAATGATTTAGCCACAGCCTTGGAAAGAACCAAAAGTGAAGTAAGCAAAGACTGTTCCCAAGATACTAGTTTCCCTTTGAGTTGCTTATGGGAAAGACTTTTGAAATCAATATATTCCCATTTCAGTCCTGAACTCCCATGACAAATGGAGCTGTTGACCCAGCACGAGCTTCCTTACAAGCTTTTCATGACACAATGCAGGAAAAAAGCATCCCACATTCAGATGTCAAGTGTCATCTCAAGAAGGATTCTGTTGATCTACTTCATCTGTAAAAAGGCCATTTAGAACTTCCACTTCGTGGAAACTGTTTCAAAAAGCAATAATTAGTTGGCAAAGATGTGAATAGTTTGAGATGAACATGGTCATTCTGAGTAAAATTTATCATTGCTTTCAAAACGTATTTCAAAGTTTCTAAATACTTACTTCTTCAGGTGTAATTACTCCAGTTTCTTTAAACTTGGACTCCTGAAATAAAGAAAGTTTAGATATTTTGAGAACTACTAACAAATACTCCACTTCACTGGTAAGACAAACATCTGCTCTACTTTTGTCTTGGAATAGCTCTGTCCAGAGAGATCTGTGAATCAGCAAGCAACCTCTGCCAGGGCTGATGGGCAGCTTACTTCCAGACCCTATAATGTAAGGCTTGACAAAAATATTTGTTGCAGAATGTGGGGTATTATGAAAAAAGATCACATACACAAAGTAATTTTTCTGCTACAGCTAATTATATCAATAATGAAGTAAAGATCCCTGGCACTCAGTATTACATTTGCCAGTAAGACAGAAAAGCAGTTGGAATCGGTGATTCTCAGTCAGGACTTTGGGACTGTTCTAGGCACTGAACAGCACTGCAATGCATCAAATGAGATTCTAGAGATTAAGCAAAGTCATGAAATTAAGGAACAAAATGACTTTTCTCTTTTTTTGGAAAGTTATGCAGAAAGACTTAGCTATTAACTTTTTTTTATACCCATTTTTGTGCCTTTATTATGCATCCCATGGAAGCAGTTTTGATATTCTCATATTGTTGTTTATGGATGAAAGAATAGATGGCAAGCAGCAAAATGATTTAATTCTGCAGGGAGAAATGAAGTACTTCTGCATTAAAGATGACATTTATGAAGATAAAGGATACAATATTTCCTAGCTTATTCAAATCTAGAGTATTTTGTTTCAGACTTCTGTTCATTTTTTTTTTTTCTTCAGAAGAGTCTCAAGCACCAAGAAAATCTACTGTTCCCAAGCATCAGAGCTATCCAAGAATGGCTTTTGAAAAAAATACTATTTTGACCATGGCATAGCTCAATTTTCAAGTTTTTGCATCATCAATTAATGAATAAATGCTTCTCCTAAAGAACTTGTGATTTTTTTTTTTTTCAATCAAGACTGAAACAGCAACTGAAAAGTACCTCACTTTTGGCTACAACTTCACCTTATTCAATCATTAGGAAATCATTAAAGAAAACCAGCCACTGATTAACTTAGTTATTCTTGGTGCATGCTATCACCCGTGCTACGTAAAATGAACTGAGAACACCTGTTTCATACAACGCTGATCACTTCCTTTCTCTCTCCTTTCTAAAGAAGAGACATTTAAGAATAAGATTAAGTTAAGCAAAACAGCAGTTGTACAGACACCATAACATCACTATATGCTAGGTAACAAATCAAAAACTCAAACAACCCTAATTTAGCAATTTGGATTACTGTGAAACTAAGAATTCTCGATAACACATTAGGCAACACCACAGTGGAGAAATCTTACTATTTAACCTCAAAATGAGCTATAAGCAACAGGCAACATGCAGAAACTTGTGTTTCTGGAATTACATAAGGAAAATAAATACCCATTCTTTGTTCCCTGAGGGTAAATAGTTCACTTTTTCATCTCTGTACATTCTGTGGTACGTAAACTAGTGAGAGACATGTCTAGTTTCTTTCTGAAGTTACCAAGTTGAAGTATTTATTTCAACCTCTCGTAAAGGGAACACATACACATAATATTATCACCTCCCATTTGTGGGAGGTTCTACTCCTGCCTCCTCCCAATAGTACATCCGGGCAGAAGAATTCTTCCACTGTTACACCAGCTGTGCAACAGCAACTGTACTATGGCAAACGAGTCGCTTCACCTTTCCATGCCACAACTTCACTGCAGCCCATATATGTGACAGTGGTGGGCAACTCCAGAAAGGTCCACTATCCAGGCAAGAGCATACTATACCCCAGAGGGAAAAGTTCGATTAATAATTGAATTATCACTGTCTTCTGCCTAAAGATCTAAGCTGCAGAGTACAAGGCATATTGAAGGTCATACCATAAAACCACAGGCAGAGAGGTTGCTCTCATAAACAATTACAGTAGAAGTATTTTTTTTTAAAAATGGAAAATTTGAAAAATCAGTAGTGAAAAAACTGCTGACAAGTTAAGCATTCACACACAAAGCTGCATTTTATACAAAAAAGTATTTGTAAATAGGGGCAGAAGAGGGGATGTAGTCTAACAACTGCAGAAAAACACTTACAATGTTTCAACCTAAATAAGCAGTAACAAGAACTGACAGATGTGCTGCCCACCTTTACAAGCAGACTGGTACAATCCACTCAAGAACCAAACAGCCCATTTCTACTATTCAGTTATTTTAGCACACAGAGGCTAGTGTTAATACAGTAATACTGATGCAGAAATAAGCTACACTACGTAACTTTACACCTGCTCACATAATGAAGATGTCACTAGGTTTTTTTTCTTTATATCAGCTGAATAAGGTGCACTTTCACTCAAAATAACCATTGCAACATATTCCTGAAACCAAGCTTAAGCCTATCAGCACACGAGCGCCTTGGGATTTCCATTCCTGGTCATACAATCAGCTAAAGTTTAGCCACTTTAATAGAAAAAAGCAACAAATAAGCTATTTCTCGAGCAGAAGGACCAGCAACACCTGGTCTTCGAATGCCTGCAGCTCCCGGGGGAATGCTCCCACCCCTAACGGGATGCGAGCTCCAGCTCAGCTCCCTCCGTCCCGCGCACCCCGGTGAGGGACGAAGGCCGACGGCTTTGCCACCGCACAACCTGCCCCTGAGGCGTGAGG